ATTATATCTACAACTATAGCATATATACGACTAAATCGTTGCCAAAAATATATATACAATACATAAGTGTGTGAGAAAATGCCATTTCACTCACTCACTGATCAGGCATTCAACTCCTTGTTTATCTGCAATAAAACTTTTGTTATAATCCCCACAGAATTCTTGGCCATATTTTTCTTGTATTGTTTGGTGTTGTGGTGTATTGGGAACCTATAATAACTCCATCACCCCCTCTCTGTGTCCCCTCCCCCTATCCCTCACCCCTATTATACTGAATACCATTTATGATTGTAAAAGCTCTTGAAAATTGTGATTTTAATCGATTGAGTGCTAGATATTTGGATCCAATTATTTAATTGAATATATTTTGTTGTATTTCATGAGATGAATGGTTTATGTCATACTTTATTAATATGAATATCAATTGTTTCATATATTGATTATATGTTATTTGTGCGTAAAATACATTTTACAAATGCATTAAATTTAAATATTACTACAGAATTTCGTCCGGAATTTATCGGTGAATCCGGAAATATAACTACTATATTATTAGTATAAAATTATTGTATGCTTTTGTATCTTATATGCGATTTGATGTCATTATTGAGATATAAAAATAAAATTTTATATAAAATATATTTAATGCATTCACAGAATTATTTGTACATTAAATAAATTATGCATTTTATCAACACATTGAATGCCAGACAGTAAGACATACCAATGGTATACAATGTACACTATACATTATTGTATATCAGTTTGTAAGTCAATTCAAATGTGTGTATAATACAGTGCAACTTCTCCATAGGGAACGGGCAGATGCACGGCAAAAGTGTTCCCTATAGAGAGGGTTCCTCCAAGGGAGGTTTGAGTAAAAATGTCTTATTTTTGATTAATATTTGAAAATGTTTGTGTTTGGCGAACTCTACGCTGTCGTTGACATCCCATCCGTTGTCCGCGTAATCCGTGACCGAAATCCTCACAAACAGTGGCATTGATTTGGGGATCACTTCCCGCACCCGACGGGCCGTCTCTAAACCAAAACGCATCCGGTTTTCTAATGAACCGCCGTATTGATCGGTGCGCTGATTACTGGCCGGCGATAAAAACATGTTTACTAAATAACCATGGGCGTAGTGCAGTTCAATCACCTATCAATTATAACCCACATTAATTATAATGTACAGTATTTTAAATACAGTGCAACTTCTCCATAGGGAACGGGCAGATGCACGGCAAAAGTGTTCCCTATGGAGAGGGTTCCTCCAAGGGAGGTTTGAGTAAAAATGTCTTATTTTTGATTAATATTTGAAAATGTTTGGTAATAATAGCAATTATTGAAAATAATCAGTAATTTTAGTTTGTTTAGTTGTATTAGTATGACAATTAACTACTTTAGTCTTAATTTTGTCCTATTGTTCAAGAATTTGCTCACCGGATGCGTCTCTGGATATAAAATAGGACTTTAGAGTAGATATTGCTTGTGTGACGTTCAAAATGTTAGGAACTCTTACAGTATTGAATGAAACTTACAATGAAAACGTGTTTCCTGTTTGTTTAAAGTCTTAGGTTTGAGAATATTATTAATACTTTACATATCATGTGCTTATAATGATCTTTGTTCTTTATGGAGAGTACAAGTTTTATCTTAATTTCTATAAATCCGTTCCCAATGGGGAGGTATTCCTTATGGAGAAGTTCCCCTAAGAGAGGTTATTTTAACATTATAGGTATAGGAAATCCAACACAAATTTTAAATCAGTTCCCTATGAGGAGGGGTTCCCCCAAGAAAAGTTCCCCCAAGAGAGGTTGCACTGTATTGGATATAAGTACAACATAATATGTTGTTAGGTACAATATATTTATAACCATTACCTCAAAGCCTGCCTTAACAGAACGGACGGCCGCCGACACAAACGCCTGTTGCAGTACTTCTATGTCCTCAAGTGTAGCCTCTTTGGGCACTTTCCATACATCGCCTCCAAAAGCAATAGGACTGGCCGAAATAGTTGGCCACCCACCTTGGTCATCCGGCATTGAGACCTTAGTGTTAGCCCACATTACGGGTGTACTGGCTTTACGTCCCGCGTGGGCCAGTTGTATGGCCGGCACAGCGCCCAGCGATTTGAGGAGAGTTGTGATCCGACGCCAACCCTCCACCTGTTCATCATTCCAGATACCGGTGTCGGCCGGTGTGATGCGCCCCCTGGGCTCTATAGAAGTTGACTCTACCATAACCAGTCCGGCACCACCTAGGGCAAATGAACCATAATGGGCTATGTGAAAGTCATTAGGCACACCGTCCACCGCTTGCCACGTGACCATTGGCGACACACCGATGCGGTTTTTAAAAGTTACCCCCTTTATGGTCACCGGTGAGAACAGTATGGATTGTTGCTTTTTATCATGGGCACTCATTGTCACTTTTAATTAACTAATTGTTTTATTATGAAAAAATAAAATTAATATTTTATAATAAAATAATATCATTTTTTGTTCTTTATATACTCCCAATATAATACAAACTCTGAGATTTTGTACTTTAGAATCTAGATCAATCTAACCTAAAGTTTGTGAAGTTATACTCATTATTCTATATCAATATGGAATTTATTAAATAAACCTCTTGTATTAATTTAGTTGCTGCCGAGATAATAAATCATTTTAATACATTTGCTACTTATTCCGTACAATTGTATAGTTATCGTAATAAATTATTTGTCTTAATCTCTACTACATAGCTCTAGTATTGTGGTGAACACATTCAAATAATTTATCAACTTTATAATGCCTTTGTAAAATGCCTACCCCTACTCTGGAAAAGTGTACCCATCAAAATATTACACTTTATCACTATATGACAATCAATAAGACCGCTTTTAGTTCAGTAGTTTTAATAAAGGTTATATTGTTGAGTCAACCAATTTTTGTAAAATTTATTAATTATTATTTACTACAAATATCAATATAATTATTTAAAAGCATATTGTTTAAAAAATTCATAATTTAAAATTAGTCTGCTTATGCAATAAATCTATTTATTAAAAAAATAAATATAACTAGATTTATGAGGATTAATTTTATGTTGATATTATGTATCAAGTTGAACCCCAATTAGTATTAAACCGAATTAATAAGAAATATTAAGATATACAATATCAAAATTAATTTTTTGAAAAAATGTCAAAATTCTAATTTATTATTAAAAACTATAAGTTTCATTAAAAAATATTTAAATAAAATAAAATATTATTTTATGTATAATATGAAACTTTGATAAAATTTATAAAGTCGAGTTAAACTAATATTACTGTTATTTTTTTAAATAAACAAATCAGTCTTAATTAATAAAATGAATTTAAGTTAATTAAATAGTAAAACAATAGAAAATCAGCTAGCAAACAATCACTATAAAATAATTTATTTTTAATTATTATTTTGATCTTCATGCAATAATTGCCTCCACTTGAAAAAGCCTTTCCAACCGATACACCAGTCATAGGAATCGGGATATTTGAAGGTGTGTTCGGTGGCCAAGAGGTCAGCGGCAGTGTATGGCCAGTGAGGGTTGTTTAGTAGC